TGCCTTGAATGGTTCTTGCCGTTGTGATTCCGAGAGTAGATTTGATCGAGAGCAAATGAGAGAAATCGAGCTGATTATGTGATTTTTTTTGTTGTTGTGGAGAAACCCTTACCTTTCTCTCTGCCTTGAATGGTTTTCTTTTGCATGGAAATGGTTCCAGGACCTTCTTAAGGGTCCGGAAAATACATTTGGACCTGCTAACGTAACATATGTAAAAAAGGGCCTTTTCCGTATAAACCCGTTAAATTCTTTTTTCTTAGACGATTATGCCCTTATTGAAAGAATAAGATCTGAGAAGATTTTTTTTTTTTTTTCTTCCTTCTTCTCGACAATTTCTTCTCTTCTTTCGTAGGTCAATTATCACAACTTTTCTATGACCATGAAGATCACGCCGAAGGTGGAATCATCGATCTTCAAAGAAAAATCGCACTTCTAGGTTATCTTTTCATTTCAGTATCTAATTCAACTATATTTTTAATTTTGATTTCGATGATTATTGTTAATGGTGAAGAAGTTGGAAAAGATTTATTAATACACATGTTCACACATCTCAACAGCTCGCTAGAGGAATTGCTGATGATGTTGATTTGTTGACTTGGTTACATGAACATATTTGGTCTTATGAATCGAATATGACTGAGGAGGATTCGTTTATTTCAATTCTTCTTCGTGGAATTCAACTCATTCGATCTGGTGTAAGTTTTAATGATTTAGTTTCAGGTTTGATGCAAACATTTAGTGGATTTTACTTATTGTATGCAAATTAGGAATTTTTTAGTGGCATTTTAAATATGTAAGTTTATCTCTGAGGAGAAGAAGAACAAAAAAGAATCTATGTAAGTTTGTACTTTGTAGTAGTATTAGCAATTGTGCTATTGGTTTGTAGTTAGAACTTAGAGCTTCAAGGGAAAGCGAGGTATGTGAGCTGGTTAAAATCATGAGTGTAGAATTGCTATTTGAAGTAGATATATCTCGACAAAATAATGGAAGAGGACTAAGATAATATGAATTCTTTTTTGAGTGACTCCAACAAATCAGAAAGGAGTATCTGGAGCTGTAATGATTTACAAATAACGCATACTGAATTAGAACCTTTCTGCAATCCTCTCTTAATCCAATAGCAAATTTGAATTATTCGCAGTCCTTTAGGGCTATGGCTGAAGGAATCAATGATAATAAATGTTTAGATAGCTTGGTGAGGGATTCTCTGAATATCATAGTTGTGTTTGGAAATGATGTCCTCATGGGTGTATATTATGTATCTGACATGAGTTATAGGGGATATCGTTGGGTAGTATTTCAGCTTCAATTTTTGTTCTAAGTTCGGTCTTATTCCCATGCATTCTACACATGATCTGGGTATTAAGTGTTTTTCGTTGTCAAATAAATGATGAATTAATATAGGTACCTTATTGTATTCAAAGAGCACATATTTCATTTTGCGTATTCCTAGTAGAGCATAATCAATAGTTACTTTGGATCCAATAATCTTTTTGCAATAATTAGGTTAATGAATTAATACCCCCTTAGAAACTTTCTATCCTTCATTTTGGTATAATGTGGATCTCTTTGATCAGGTCACATGCTTTGCTGAAGCAGGTGGACAACATGTGTCTGAAATGGCAAGGGCAGTAGAAGTACTAAGGTTGCGTGCATGTTTAACACAATCGACCATGGATTGTGGTCAGGGTTTGCCTGGAAACTGGGGGTCTTCACACAGCCGAGTACTGTATTCAGGTTGGACATACTCTTACTTCTCTTTCTCAATGGTTAAAACATAACCTTGTACCCCGCAAATACGCACACACAACAAAAGCTTTTTACTATATGGATTTACCATTCAGGGTACTTATTCAGGGTACTTATTCAATTTTAAGCATACAACTAGTGCTACTTTATGATTGAATATTGCCAAATCTTTTAGGCAGCATCTATGGACAAGGCTGTTTTGGAAAAAATGGTTGAATGGTAGATAATAGGGGTAGTTTCCATGTCTATCTGTTAGTCTGGAGTTAATATTGAACTTCGTTAGTTTTACTCATTTAGAAATTTGCGTACTATTTTTCAATTATATAATTCTTTTCTTTGTTTGATATTGCACTTTCTACTAATTTAGTTTGTATCATATGTAATCTAATCAAAGTTCAAATTATTTTGAGGGAACAGACTTAGAAGCAACTTTATGATAAGCATCATGATACAACAGATGGGCGCATCAGAATATGGCTTGGAATAAGACAAATTATGAAAGCAACTGATAATTTACTACTTCAAACTAGAGCCATTGAAAATAAGCTTCAGCGGCGCGGTATGTATATACCAACTATGTAAATGTGATGCAGAATCTACCATACACCTCTTTTTCTCTTGCCAATAAAAGAAGTATGGCAGATTTTAACTGTTGGGTTTGTTCAGGCAGTTGCAGAATTCGGCACCATTACAAGTACTGAACTGTTATTGATTTGGTGGCCGAGCTTTAGAGGGAGAAGAATTTGTGTAAAGGTCTGGAGTATTTGTGTGAAAGGCTGTCAATCTTGGTACTCCTGGCACTCCTTAATCATGATGGCCTCTTTTTCTTTGATGTTTATTTCCCATCTGACTATCCAGATGTACCACTGGTATGCTTTTGTTGGTTATTATATATTTCAACAATCATTGTGTTGTGTTGGATTCCAGATCAGACATATCATATTTTTTGCTTTTGATGTTATACAATATTTTAGTTAACTAATAATTATGAGAGGTATACCGCAAGGATAGGTATTGCTTTAAAGTAAAATTCCGTTTATTGGCAATTAATGTACTAAGAGTAACAACCTCAATGGATCTTTATCTCAAATGGTAGAGCACTTGAGAATATATGAGTAATGGAGTAGTATACATCCATTACTTCTCAAGAGATGGTGGTTCAAGTCCACCAAGATCCTTAATTTGTTTTGGAAATATTTTTGAGAATCCATTATCGATAGTTTCAAGACCACTCAGATTTTAGTTGTGCAAAGAGCTCAATGCATCCCAAGCATTGAAATTTATGCATCGGAAATAGCTGTATGGACCCAGCGCATTGAGCTATATGCATCTAACATAACATATTTCAACATGTAGAAATTGCAAAGAGCTATATGCATCCTATTATTGGCTCTATGCATTACAAATAACTCTTTTTATCCACTATATTGAGTTGTATGCAACCAGCATGTACAACATGTTTCATTCATCAAGACACTTGAAACTACGTTAGGATTTGTTGGAATGTTATGCACAAAAGTGGTGGCAATGTAAGCAAATAACTCTTTGCATGTTTTTATGGCGCCATGGTGTGTAAGTAATGTATGCAATGAGATTAATAACTGATTGGGATTGGGATTTGTAAAAGCATAATAGCTGATTAATAATTCATTCACAAAACCAATGCCATTTATCCATTACAAGTTTACAACTACTTACACTACCTTTTGCCAACACACGATCATAGCTTACAATATATATATATAGCTAGCCATAGCCAAGACGTATCAATATACAATACCCAAACTAGACATAAAACCATACAACTAACATAACTAACACTAAAAAATTGCTACTGCCTTTGGGGAGGATTTATAATGAGCATGTAACTGAGCTTTTGCATATGGTGGTCAACATCGCTAGACAGTTCGCTTTGTTGCACAGTGGTGTAAAATTTGAAGCATTGTATATATTGTCGACAATGTTGGCATCAAAATATGCTACACCGCTTCATGATGCTCGGTTGATGTCAAAAGAGATTTGGTTTATTTATTTGTGTGTTGGCATTGCTCCAGTTTTACAGAATTGTGTCGCTTCAAAGGATAGACTTCATGCTCTTGTTTTGGCTGAATCAGTGATGTCCATATTATGGTAAGAGTGGCTGATTGCTCAGAGTAATTTACCTGGTGAATTAAACCCTCTTCCAGTAGATAGATGCCTACTACTTGTCTTGGAGTTTGCAAGGGTTGAAGTCGTTGTGCTTCTTAATGAGCTAGAATACTTGAAATATGAAGCTTCTGTTAAACCTTCAGCTGCAAACAATCCATTGAAGCAACAAAACCATTAGTGTGGTTCTGGATTTCTTACAAGATACAAAAGAACATGGAC